CAAATAGTTGTGAGCCACTGTGTGAGTGCTGCAGATTGAACAAGGGCCCTTTGCAAGGGCAGTAAGTGCTCTTAACTGTTGAGCCATTTGTCCATCCCCAATAGTTTAGATTATTGATTCAAGACTTCCACTATACTCAGTAAAAGCAGTAAGTGCTATGAGTTTATTTGTAAGCAGATGCTGGCATAGATGTAGGAGGAGGGGACAGTTTTGATGTTGTATTTGTTTTCTTCATCCAATGTATTTTCTGTTTTTTTTTTTTTTAACTTTTGTCAATTTAGAATTTTGTTGTTTCATTTCTAAATACTGCAAGTTTTTCTATTACCTTATTGTTAACAGATTTATAGAGAACACACTTTGTGATTTTCAGGGCTTTTAAATTTGTTAGAGTTTTATGCCCTCTATACATACCCTGGCTTATGTGATGTGCACTGGAAAGGGTATATTGCAGTTAGTAGAATATCCTATAAATATTAAGTGCATCTGGTTTTTTGGTAGTATTCAGTTCTGTAATTTTTGCTGATTTCTACTATTTCTATCAATTACTGAAACAGGAGTGTACAACCATAGTTGTGATTTATATTTTCTTTGATTTTTGTCAGTTTTTGTAATATGAACTTCTAAGTTCTATTAGAAGCATATATAAGTTTAGTATTTTTGTGAATGAGCTAATGAACTAATTTATTACTGTATAACGTTTCTTTTCTTCTTTTTTCTTTCTTTTTTCTTAGGGGGTGGACATTTAGAGACAAAGTTTTCCTGTGTAGCCCTGGCTGTCCTGGAACTAGCAGTATAGACCAGGCTGGGCTTGAACTCTGGGATCTGTCTGTCTCTGCCACCCAAGTGCTGGGATTAAAGGTGTGTACTGCCACGCCTGGCATATGAACCTTTTTAGTTTTTGTAGTATAGTTTGCTTTGAATTTTACTTTGGTATTGATAATAAGTTCATTTTAACTGTTTTATTTAAATTGAGATATACCTCATACTAGAAAACTCACCCTTTAAGTAAAGTATGTAATTCTGTGTTCTTTTGTGTTGTCTGAAAGTTGTGTAGCTGTCATCAATGTTTTAAATTTAAAAACTGTCACTTCACAAAGCAGTACTGTGCCCAAGAGTACTGACTCTGCATGTTCCATTTTTTTTTTTTTTCTTTAGTCTCTGGAAGTCACTAATTTACTTTGAGAATTTGTCTTTTCTATTTTGTTGTTTTTGGAGATAGAGTCTTCTATATTCTGGCTGACCTGGTACACTTACTATGTAGCCCAGGCATTCTTGAATTTGCTGCAGTCTTCCTGCTTTAGCCTCCCAAATGTTGGAATTACAGATGTGTGCCTTATCTGTCTGTTTTGGGTGTTTCAGATGTGGCTCTTCAGTGTGGCTTCTTTCGCTTGCATATTTTTAAAAAAGATCTTCTACATTGAAGCATGTCAGGACTTCATTCCCTTATGTGCCTGAATGATATTCCTTTGTATATCTATACCATTGCTCGTTTATCCATTCATTGATGAATTTTAGTTTTTTTCTACTTGCTTTACTATTGTAAAAATTTGTGTATAAGTTTGTGTGGAGATACAGTCTCATTCTTTTGGGTATTAACATAGGACTAGAATTTGTAGAGTCAAATTGTTGAATTTAAGAAACCATTAGATTGTTTTCTTTAATGGCTGCTTTCTTATATTGCTACCAGCAGTGAATATGAGTTTAAACTTCTCCATATTCTCACCAGTATTTTTATACATCTGTTATGAGACAATATCTCACTATGCCGTACTGGCTAGCTTGGAACTCATTTTGTAGACAAGTCTGTCCTCAAAATCAAAGAGATCTGGCTCCTCATTTGAGTATTTAGTTGTTACACTGGTTTTTGTCCTACACCTGTCCTTGTTGGCCCTGGCTGTGTGCATCATTTCATGGTTGTTTGGAACCAGTAGGTACTCCCACAGTGCCAATGATGGCCCCCCTTCCTCCTGGGGTGATGCCTGGGGGTTCCTGCTCCTGGAATGAGGCCACCCATGGGTGGCCACATGCCTATGATACCTGGGCTTCCAGTGATGAGATCTCGTGCTCGTCCTATGATGGTGCCCACCTGGTTTGGCATAACTTGGCCAGACAGGTAAGAACAGGAGGGCTCATCATCAGTTTTGTATTTCTTGTTCTGTTTCACTAGGCTATCACAGTGCCTAGCCTGAATGTCTTCTAACAGTATGACAAGGAAGGCTTTCCCCTTCATAGCAGACAGAATAGTTTCGAAAGAGAAAAGTGGGATAAAAAAGTACAGTTTTCATCTGTATTGTGAAATATGAAAATAAAATTGCCAGCTGTTTTTAGTTTAAAAAAAAATCATAGAGGGCCTTTAATCCCAGTATTAGGGAGGGAGGCAGAGGCAGGCGGATCTCTGTGAGTTTGAGGTCAGCCTGGTCTACAGGGTGATTTCCAGGACAGCCAGGACTGTTTCACAGAGAAACTCTGTCTCAAAAAAACAAACAGATAAACAAACAAAAAATCATAGAGATGTGCTTCCTAAGTGCTGAGATCAGAGACCAAAAGTGTGTGCCACCACGTCTGGCTACCAGTATTTTTTTGTCTTATATTGCCAAATCTCTCTCTCTCTCTCTCTCTCTCTCTCTCTCTCTCTCTCTCTCTCTCTCTCTCTCTCTGTGTGTGTGTGTGTGTGTGTGTGTGTGTGTGTGTATGTACGCATCAAAGTGCTTGCGTTCAAGTTGGAGCAACCTTGGGTATTTGTTCTTATTCTTCACCTTGCTTGAGATAAGGTCTCTTGTTCTCTGTTGAATATTCTGGGGATTGTCTTGTCTTTACTTTTCATCTTCCTCTAGGATAGTGTTTCTCACCCTTCCTAATGCTGGGACCCTTTAATACAATTCTTCATGTTGTGGAATTATTTCATTGCTGCAGTTTTGCTACTGTTAAGAATCCTAATGCAGCTGGGTGTTGGTGGCGCTCGCCTTTAATTCTAGCACTTGGGAGGCAGAGGCAGGTGGATCTCTGTGAGTTTTAGGCCAGCCTGGTCTACAGAGCGAGTTCCAGTACAGGCTCCAAATCAATACAGAGAAATCTCGAAAAACTAAACAATAATAACAACAACAACAAAAAAAATCGTAATGCAAATATCTGATGTGGAGGATATCTGCTATGTGACCCACAAAGGGATTGTGACCCACAGGTTGAGAACCACTGCTCTAGGAATACTGTGATTACAGATACATCCCATTCTGTCTGGCTATTTGAGATTCATGTGGGCTTTGAGGTTCTGAACTCAGGTCTTCAACTGTTGTTCAGCTAGCACTTTACCCATTGAATCATCTCTCCAGCCCTGATTTTGAGATTTTTTTTCTGATACGGTTTTGGCAAGTTAATTTATGTGTATGTGTTTCTTTTTTTCTTTTTGGTGTTTCAATACAGGATTTTTCCATGTAACCCTGGCTGTCCTGTAACTCTCTCTGTAGACCAGGCTAACCTCGAGCTCACAGAGATCCTCCTACCTTTTCTGCAAGTGCTGGGATTAAAGGTGTGTGCCACTACTGCCCAACTCGCTATATATTTTCCTATGTGTAATATGATGTCTCCTTGTTAACAGCCATTGCTGATCTTTGCTTGCACTTACCTACATTCTTGCCAGGTGGTTTTGCTACTAATCTTAGGTTGGTATTTTTCTTTGCTTGTCTTCTGGCTAATATTCTTCATGACTTACTGTCATCTCTATAGCATCCTTGTTGGTCTTGGAAAGTAATCTGTATTCTTGTTCCTCTATTCTTTTTCCCCCAATTTATCTTTAGTACATTGATATTTTGCTGCATGTATGTGTGATGGTTACAGACAGTTGTGAACTACCATATGGGTGCTGGGAATTGAACCCATGTCCTCCAGAAGAGCAGTCAGTGCTCATACCCACTAAGCTATCTCTCCAGTCCCTGTTCCTTTATTCTTATTCCCTGGTGCTTTCAAGATTTTTCTCTTTTTGGTTTTCATCAGAAATCTTATGATGCGTGTGGTTTTGTTTGTTATCTCAGTTTTATCAGTAAGTCTTCATGTAGGTTACCTCTTTTTTTTTTTTTTTTTTTTTTTTGAGACCTCAGAGTCTCTCTTTGTAACTTTGGCTGTCCTGGAGCATCAGGCTGGCCTCAAACTCACAGAGATCTTCCTGCCTCTGCCTCCCAGTTCTGGGATTAAACATGTATACCACATACCTTGGCACTAGGTTAACTTTTGAATTGAAGGAAGTAACCATTTAGTGAATAGTGATACCCATCAGGAGAATTTCAGGCCATACCATATTTTGCAACCTTTTTGTTTTCCTATGAAATTCTCTTGGTGTAATGAGCAGCATAATTGGGTGGGTGGGTGGGGGGAGTTCAAGAATGACGGCCACCATAGGCATCATACATCTGAGGAGGGTTCATGCCCAGTAAGAAGTAAACCCTCAAGCTCCGCAATCCCTCTGAGATTCCTGCAGGATCTGTTATCTGCCATCCTACCTCACAGGTTTTTCACAGAGATCTATTTGAATATATAAAGTAGCTGAAAAAGTACAGTACAAATATAAGGTGACAATTATGTGGTTGGTAGAGAATTAAATAATTTATAATTTGTTAAAGGAAAGCCAACTCACTATATATGCATTTAATTTATTCATATAATTTAATTGGGTTAAGTAAAATGTGAGCTAAATTCATGTGTGAATTTGAATATAGGCATCAGACATATATACTACATTTTTAGCTCAATGAATTTTGAGAAAATGAATTTGTTTGTGAAAAGAAGTCAGATATTACAAAAGCAAAAAATTGTCATGAATTTAAACTTTGGTTTCTGTTTAGAATACAATAAAATTTAAATATGGGTGTTTGATAGTCTATGATATTTAATAGTCTGTGACATTTCACAAAGTTAAAACAGTTGTACATTCAAAGAATATTATAGTTTATAAGCAAAACTATTAAAAGTTTTAAACTAAATTATTATGAAATTATTTCTGTCTCTAGGTGAAACATGGTTTCTCTAATATAACTGGGATCGATTATTCTCCTTCTGCAATTAAGCTTTCTGCAAGTATTTTAGAGAAAGAAGGGCTATCTAACATTAACTTGAAGGTAACTATTATTTATGTTACTATAATATTTTAAAATAAGGTATAATATTTAACTGTTTCTAAAGTATGTTAATCTGTTGACCTTTTTGAATTCATAAATTAAGGATCAATCATAAATAACCCAAATTGAAACATTTAAAAGTAACTGTTAAAAACACAATCTAGTTAGTTTAGGGACTTTTTTCTTTTGTATGTATGTGACAAGAGTCTTACTGTGTAATCCAGGCCAGCCTCAAACTTGCTGTCTCCATAAGTCTAATTGGATTATAGGCATGTACCGCTGTGCTTTGTGGGAAAGTGTCCATTGTATATGGACATACGTGTGTGATCCTGTCCATGTTTGCAGAAATGTACAGTACCTGACTCTGGATTAGTGAGATGAAAATGTTAGAAATGCTGGGTGTTCCTGCAGTGCTGTTTTCTGTCTCAGATTCTACTAGAACTGGAAGCCACTTCAACTGGATGGCAGTATTTGGTTGTCTTTATTCCTCAAAGAAAATGAGTTATATTTAGAAAAAACTTAAATTCATAGGCTGTTATCATATCTAACATTGTTATTTAATTCTTTGTCCCACTTGGCTTTAATTGTCAACTTGATATAACCTGAAGTCATCAGCGATGAGAGCCTCAATTGAAGAACTGTCTAGATAGACTGGTCTGTGGGCATGTCTGTGAGGATTCTCTTGATTATTAATTGATACAGAAAGGCCTGGCCCACTATGTGTGACACCATCCCTACCATTCCTGGATAGTATAAAGAAGCATTAGCCGGTGAGAAAGTCAGAAAGGGAGCTAGCTTCAGGTTCCTGCCTTGAGTTCCTGCCCTGTGACCTGGAAATGTAAGATAAAATAAGTCCATTCCTCTCCAACTTGCTTTGGTCTGGGTGTTTTCTCACAGCAACAGGAAGAAATTAGAACACTTAAAACTCAAGGAGTTAACCTTGTTTCTTCTCTTTTCCTCGATCATTTTGCCTCACCATTCCCATGATAAAAAGTAGTCAGCGATCTAAAAGGAACATTTGCTTACATCATTTTTTTTTTTTTTTTTTTTTGTTTTTGTTTTTGTTTTTTGAGACAGGGTTTCTCTGTGTAGCCCTGGCTGTCCTAGAATTCGCTCTATAGACCAGGCTGTCCTTGAACTCAGAGATCTGCCTGCCTCTGCCCTCTGAGTGCTGGGATTAAAGACATGCGCAAACAAGCTGCTTCCCCCCCCCCCCACAAAAGATGTATCTTCTTAGTCACTCACAGTCTTATTACTGTTTTCTTTTTATTTTCTTCAAGATTAGAGGTACATCTCTTGTAGGCTAGGCTTGCCAAAGACTTATGAATCCCACTGCCTTTACTTTCTGAAGGCTGGCTCATGGTTTTTGTGTTGTTTTGTGCTACTGAGACAGGATCTTCTATAATTCAGGCTGGCTTATAGCATGCTATGTAGCTGAACTTCTGGTCTTCTGTTTTCCCAAGTGCTGGAATTACAGGCATGTTCCAGCATGCTTAGCTCTTTATCTTTAAAGTTACATTATGTATTTATAGTGTGTGTGGTGGGTGAATACATGTGCCACCTTGTGGGTTCCAGGGGTTTACCTCAGTTTGTTAGATTTGGTGGCAAGTGCCTTTACCTACTGAGCTCAGGCCCTATTTTTTATGTGTATTCTTGTTTGCCTGGGAAGGCCAAAAGAAGGCTGCAGACCCTCTACATCTTGAGTAACAGGTGATTGTAGCACCCATATATATAGGTGCTGAGAACCTAAACTAGGGCCACTAAAGGGCAGCCAGCTCTTAAGTAGTGAGCCATCTCTCCAGCCCCAGTTTTCTTAATAGTACTCTATCTAAATATGTTTTAAAAGATATTTCATGGTAAACAATTATTAAGCATTTGTAATCTATTTTTAACATTTAAATTGCATTTTTTTGTATATGTACTGTGTGGACATACATATATTTATGAATTGAGATCGGAGGACAACTTGCTGAAGTTGGTTCTTTCCTTTCATCATGAGATCTCAGCTCAAACTTAGGTTTGGTGGCAAGCCTTTACCTGCTGAGCCATCTTGCTGGCCCTATCTGAAATAGTATTATTATCTTATTACATTCTTTATTTGTTTTATGTGGTGAGTAGATTCACTACAGCATACTTCATAGGTCAGAGGACAATTGTGGGAGTTGGTTCTCACCGTCATGTCAGTGTTAAAGATCCACTCAGGTAACAAAATCCTTTATCCACTGAGTCTGAACCTTGCAATACTATGTTTTTTTTTTTTTTAAGTAGCATTTCTCTGTGTGAGTATGTTCATGTGAATACAGATACCTGTGGAGGCCAGAAGCCTTGGATTTTGGAGCTCAAGCTACAGGTAGTTGTGAGCCACTTGATGTGGGTCCTTTACAAGAGCAGCGTGAGTTCCTAAATATGGAGCTAACTCTGTAGCTCCTTGAAACCTTTTCTTAAATTTATGTTTTAGTTAGCTTTTTATTGCTATGACTGAAAAACATAGACTCAGTAATTTATAAAGCATGGAAGTTTATTTAAGCTCACAGTTCTAGGCTGGAGAGCCCACCATGATTCTTACATGATGTGATGAGGGACCTTCTTCCTGCATCACAGTAGAGCAAGTGAACCAGAGAAAGCTTGCTTTTATAACAGAGCCAGTCCTTCATTAGCCCATTAATCTGTGTATGAGGAGAGAGCCCTCATAACGCAGTCACCTTCCTAGGGTCTCTTCCAAACACCATTAACATATGACTGTGCTTAGATTTCCAGTGTGTGTGTATTCTGGAAGATAAACAGTAGCAGCTTATTTGTTGTTTAATTCTTCCTTTATGAAACACAAGATTTCTAACACAGATTTATATTCTAACACAGATTTCTTTACTCTTTTACTTATTGCTATATCCTGTATCTAATATGTACAAGTGTCATGAAATACCTTTGGAATACAAGAATGATGAACAGGTGTTTAGGATGAGGATGACCTCACAGAGTGAGATCTTCAAGTAGTGTTTATTTTGATTCAGAAATAATAAATTCTGTACTTTGGATATGAGACAGGAAAAGTCCCATCTTCAAATAGAAGGACATGCTGAGTGCACTGTGCTGGTATGCACCTGCAATTTCAACTCTGTAATAGAAGCAGAGCTAGGAAAGCCTGGGCTACAGGTATGAGACCCTGTCACCAAAAAACAAACAAACAAAAAAACAAAACAAAAAAAAAAAAACAACCTTCCCCCCCAAAAAAAACCTAAACAAACAAAATTCACACACATGCCAATATATAATAGTATCCATTTTAAGGGTTGCTTTAGATATTTATTTTCATTACTAAAATTGTATGAATGATTAGATCTCTGTGAGTTTGAGGCCAGCTTGATCTACAAAGTGAGTTCCAGGATAGCCAGAAACCTGTCTTAAAATCCTCCCCCCCCCAATTTTAGAATTAAATTCATTAGTAAATTTTTGTGTTATAAAATGGAAGCACATCACTATTTCAAATACTGCAATTGTATCAGGTTGTTAAAAACAGGATGCTGATGAACTATTAAAAGCTAAAGTGCTGGACATTTACCAAGTTAAGTAATCATAGTTTAAATAGTCTTTAATTTCTTAAGCTTTATGCCTTTTGTAATATCCATTGGTAGCTTTGTGAGCTACTGAATCAAAACAGAGGAACTTTGATAATTATTTACTTTAGGCCACTCAAGTGGGAGTATAAGTCATAAGTTTTATTTGCAGTGTCCTGGGTTCCAAATAAATTCTGTTATTTTGATAAATATGTTAAATATTTTCATAAGAATCAACTTTTTATAAACTGAGCCAGTATTCCTGACTTTGATTTGTTTCCAAATTTATAGAGATTTGAAATGTCCAGGAAACACTATCAACCTCTCTTCTAATTTTGGTTTTAATGATCTCGGAAATAAAGCACATAAAAGTTAACTATAAAGTTGAAAATATGTTTATTATATGTAAAATGCCATCATAATGGACTCTTTTATCTCTAACCTTTTACATGTTGTCACTTAAGTTATATAAAGATTGTGTTAATTGTTCTCATATGGACATTCATTTTTAATATAGGTAGAAGACTTTTTGAGTCTTTCCACAAAGCTGTCTGGATTTCATGTTTGTGTTGACAAAGGGACTTTCGATGCCATAAGTCTTAATCCTGACAATGCAGTTGAGAAGAGGAAGCAGTATGTGAAGTCTCTCTCCAGGGTGTTGGAAGTAAAAGGCTTTTTTCTAATAACCTCATGTAATTGGACCAAGGCAGAGTTGCTAGATGTGTTCAGTGAAGGTAACTGGCTGCATGGGTTTGAATGTATACTCTTGGGTTTTATACTGCTTGGCTCCCCTATTGGGTACAGTATTTTACGTTTCTGGTTGTAGGAATTGACTGTTTTTTCTTCTGTGTTAATGACCTTACTAATAACTTTGAACTATGTATACAAAGCACAGAGAAGTAAATTGGTTGGGATCCAGAGGGCTTTTTTAACATTTTTCCCAGAAATCCTGGCAGTTAAGTACTAAAATTTATGAGCTTGTAAAGATCAAGCTCTTTATTTAAGCAATGCAATCTTTTATTTAAGCTGGATGATCTACTGTCCTGAGATTCAGCACATGTGTTGTGCTTTGGACTTCAGTGAACTAAATTATTTGTGAATCTATACTCATGTAAATGGAAGTACATGATGAATGTTTTAGGTTTTTTTTTTCCCTCTTTTTTTTCCTTCCTGCGACAGGGTTTCTCTGTATAGCCCTGGCTGTCCTGGAACTCAGATCAGGCTGGCCTCTTACTTAGAGAGTCACCTGCCTCTGCCTTCTGAGTGCTGGGATTTAAGTTGTATGCCACCACCACCCAGAGAATGTTTTAGTTTTATATGTAGTTTATATGGTTTGCTTTAGGGATCATTTAAATATTTAGGATTTGTCTTTGTTTTTGGTGCATATGAAGTAATTATTTTTAACATTGCACCAAAACGAAATGAGGAATTAATAATAGTTCTACATACTGATTCTTGAGGAAGTTCCCTTCTGCCTTTTTGTGGGGGGAGGCAAGACAGGTTTCTTGGAATTTGATCTGTATACTCACAGAGATCTGTCTGCTTCTCAAGTGCTAGGATTAAAGGCATGTGCCACTACTGCCTGGCCTCCTTCTGCCTTTTTATTTTAATGCAAGACAGGATTTTTTTTTTCTGCCCCATTAGCCAAAGGTACATTAGACTATGTCTACTAATACTAATATTATCTATGTCTACTATGTTTTGTGATCATTGAGAATCTGTCTCTATACATAGAACAATTGGAGATTTCTTAGACTTTCTTGGAAACTTGAAGAAATATTTTACCTTCTAGTTTATCTATGTAGCACACAGGCATTCCTGAGAAAGTACTTTGAAATTTTTTTTTTTGTTATTTGTTTACCTTTTCCTTAGAGTCGTTTCCAGGGTTAGTACTAATTATTTTATAAAGGAATGGAAGGAATTTTCAGGATGAAGTATCAAGTAAATGATTCTAGACTAAATATTTGGTTACATTTTGATCCTCTCTCACAAGTTGATGAGAAATCAGCTACCTCAAGAGAGTTTACTACACACTGTTTTCTGTAAACATATTACATCATATTGCATGCACCTATTTTAGGTTTTGTTTCCTTTTTAGTATTAAAGGACTAGTCAGAACATGCCCTGCGTCCTCTCGTGTATACATTCAGTGGCTTTGGCAGGTTTTATAATGGAAAACCTGAAGCATTTATTTCTAAAAATGTGAGTTTTTAAGCTTCATTATTATTACTTCCAGAAAACAAGAATTGTATGTGCTTTACTGTCTTTTATTTTATGTCATTAATTTTATTGTCTTCCATGGTACATTTATTTCTCATAGAACTGTTGGGTTCTAGACTGGCAGTGGTGGTGCATGCCTTTGGTCCCAACACTCAGGAGACAGAGGCAGGCAGATCTCTGAGTTCGAGACTAGCTTCAGTTCCAGGACAGAGTGAGTTCCAGGAGAGCCAGGACTACCTAGAGAAATGCTTTATGGGAAAAAACCAAAAACCAAAAAACCAAAAAAGTTTTATCAGTAGACCTTCATTTTTCTGAAGCTTGACAGTTTTAATAAATGCTCAGCTTTCTGCTGTGTGGGAGAAGTTCCTCTCCTGGTTCCTCATTCTTCTTCTTCCTTTTTTTTTTTTTTTTTGGTGGCAAATGCTTTTATTGGTGTGAGGATAACACATCCCCTGGAACTGGAGTTACAGACAGTTGTGAACTGCTTTGTAGGTTCTGGGAATTGAACCTGGGTCCTCTGAAAGAACAACCAGTGCTCTTAACCACTGAGCCATCTTTCCTGTTCTGTCTCCTGATTGTTAAATACAGGTGTTCTCTTTCACCCTGGAACCAGCAGACAGAAGCACATTTGTCTGTCTCTGGTAATGAGGAGCAGACTTTAGCCTGGAATACTGTGCTTTAAAATGTTAGGTCTTAGAACTAAATAGAGAATTAAAACAGGATAATGTTATAATAGGAGGTGTAAAAGAAACAATTACATAGCATAAGAGACTTTTAGGATTGAGTTGCTTAGAAAATGGTGCTTGGACTTAGATGTGTAACAGCAACAGAGTACTCTGCCCCATGTCACTGCTGCTGAAGACAAAAAACCCCACAAAATAATGCATTTATAGCTTATTTTATAGTTTAGGGAAACAATAGTCATTTTATTTGAATCTTTACAAAGGCCCATGGAGGTTTTGCTATCTACTAACTTTGAATAGAATTAAGGGTCATGGAAAAAGTTCCTTGTGCAAGTATACTTCTCACATAGAGGTGGGGAACCTTGGACTTGAACCTAGGACATTGGGTTCTAAATGAGCATTTTTTAAAAAAAGCATACTGTGTTCTGAAAGTTATAATTTCTTCCAAGACAGTTAGTAGTTTGGTTTGGGTATTTATCTTTGCTTAATCTTCTTTTCTAAAAATTGTGATAAAACTCATAAGATTTTAAGTGAACAGTTCAGATTGGGTATGGTGGTGTAAACCTTTAATCATAGTATTTGTTAGGTGGAGGCAGGAGGATCAGGAGTTTGAAGGTCATTTTTGGCTATTTAGAAAGTATTAGGACAACCTTTGCTATATGAGGCCCCATCTCAGAAAAACCAAATACATCTAAGCCCATAGATAAATAGATAATGAATTAGGTGTTCAGTTCAGTAACTTCATCCATGTTGTTGTATAACCATGAGGAGTCTGTCTTCCAGAACTTTCTCATCATTTACGAATTCATTTTTACTTTCAGTAATTTAACCTTTTTGTAATACATGCCTTTATTTATAGTTGTGATGTGATTGAGTTTCTACATAGAAAGCAGTGTTGTCATATGTCAAGAATTCAGTGTGTCACAGCTGCTTCCTCCCAAGGAGATAGAGATAGACCAAGGGAAGTAGGATTAGAAGAAATGGGGAAAAGTCTTGTGTGCTGATTATTTTTGGTCCTTTCTGTTCCCTGTTCATTTAAAAAGATTTTGGGGTGGTTGTGAACAGGAAAAAAATTGCAAAATTAATTTCAGTCACCAGTTTGAAATCACAGTTTTGGAAAGGATTTGAAAGAACATTGTTGGTACAAATAGCTCTAACACAGATATTTTAATTTTGTTTTATAGGATTTGAACTTTTTGAAGAGTTGCCAACACCCAAGTTCAGCTTTGGAGGTAGATCTGGAAATACTGTAGCAGCTTTAGTTTTTCAAAAAAGTGAGACTTTCTTGGACAAAGTCAGTTAGCTTTCTAGAAGAAACTGTACAGCAAAGTAAACCCGATACAGAAGAAGCAAGTACAAAGAGTGCTTAGTAAGTACCCAGGCTGCACAGACTGAGTACAGATAATGGGGTGGTGGGAAATCACAAGTATGGGCATCAAATTTAGATGTCAACTAAGAATAATATAAGATTTTATATTGACATAAATTTTTTTTGTGTGTGTTTTGTGGCAGTTTTCTGTAACTACTAATCAGTTGAAAGCCTCAAGGTAGTAAATGAATTTACAGAAAGCATGTGTTCTTGATTTTTGTGCCTTGGGAAAAGTTGAGTTGAAATGTCAGTTTATAAAGACTTGATCAAACTGTTTCAAGGCCAGAATAGTTAAAGTTTCTTTATGCTTTACAGAATGTGAAGTATGATAAGCAATGCCATTTTGTGTTGGTAGCTGGGAGACCTCCTCAATTGTCATGCTATTAAGCAAAATCAGAGAAGCCGATGAGGTGTTTTTATTTATTTATTTGTTTTTTTTTTTTTTTTTTTTTTTTTTTTGAGACAGTGTCTCACTGTGTAGCTCTTGTTGGCCTGGAACTCAGAGAGGCCTTTGCCTCTCCAGTGCTGAGATTAAAGGTGTGCACCATCACACTGGTGACTCTAGTCTTTACCCTGTGAAGGATAAATGGGTAGTTAAGGAAAGAGAATTAAGGAGTATTGCTAAATGCTTAGCCCCATGTTAACTAATGGGGTTTTATTAAATCAGTGAGTCTTTCTGTATTTTCCCAAAGGATTACTTGTTTATGTATAGGAGAACTGCAGCTGAGAGTGAAGACATTTTTTCAAGGCCAGATAGTACCAGGAGAAGTCAAGATTCTTAGTAGTTGGGGCTGATTGACTCTGGAACCCTTCTTCTAACATAGTCTATCTCCCAGGTGCCAAATCTGTCTTTATAGCATCTAAGTCAGTGATGGGCACTTACTTTAGGAGCTGTGGAGCCCTTTGTTAGTGTTCATCACTAACTAAATGACTAGTGCTGGTCTGTGGACTTTGAGAATAGTCAGTCAGCCACCTGAGTCTCATGACATTCATTATTACTTTTACTATCTCTATTTGTTTTGAAAGACTATCCTTTACCAGGAACTGAATTTTATGCAAGACATGACAAACCTATAATCTTAGCATTTAGGACACTGAAGTAGGGGGAGGAACTGGAGTTGGGCTACACAGTGAAACCCCTTTTCCAAAAAAAAAAAAAAAAAAAGTTGGGGAAATTGCCAAGTAAACATGAAGACCTGAGCTCAGCTCCCTAGCAGCTATGTACAGCACTGTTTGGAGCAGCATGTGCTTATAATCTTAGTGCTCCTGATCAGACACAAGAGGATTCTCTGAGGCTTGATGGCCAGGAAGCCTAGCTGTGGATCACTTGGCTCCAGGTTTACTGACAACTTGTCTCAAAAAATAAAGTTGAGAGCAATCAAGAAGGATACCTTGTTGTTTTGCATTCAGTACTGTGGCTAGTGGTTGCATCTTAAGCAACTGCTGTCCCACCTGGCAGTTGCAACTTTGCAGCTACTGCAGCAGTTTGGTTGCATGGGCTGCAGCCAGGCTGGAATTCTGTTTCCTCAGTCACCAGCTCTATCACAGCTGCTAAAGGAAACTGTCTAAATCTCTGTCTTTCTACTCAGGATTCAAAGTTTGAGGAGAAATCCTGATTGCTCAGAGAGGCTGAATAGCAAGTAGCTAACCTTCTCTCCTTGCTAGTGTCTCCTGAAAAAAAGGCCATCCTTCTGCTCAGCCCCTGGCTAAACATAGTTCCTCCTTGCCACTTCTTGTCAGCTAGTTGCTAACTCAGCCTCCTGACCCCAAGTTAATTTTGTTTAATCAAACAAAAGCAACACATCTTTGCATAATTAACAAAGGCAGCAGAAACAACACACCTTTACACAGTTAAAATAATATTCCACAGCAATGCCTAAAGACTTCTGGCTTCTATACTTATGTCTATGCGCAATGCACATATGTGCATGCAAACACATCCAAAAGAAAAGTGAAAACAATTTTGTCATTCATTTTTCTGTGGAAGGGGGTTGTCAGTTGTGTGACCTTTGAGGGATGTAGAGACAAGGTACTCTGAGAGCTGGTTTATCTGGAGGGCATTTATATATCGAAAAGGTAAAGCATATCTTTTATTTATATCTAATATTTAAGGAAACTGTATTTGGGACAATATTTTAATATTGGAATCTTAATGTAATTTTTTTTAAACTATGTAACTTTTTGGGTACTGGAAAGATAGCTCAGTAATGAAGAGTACTTTCTGCTCCTGCAGGGGAATCTAGATTTTTATCCAAAACCTACATTGTTCACACCATCTGTTACTTCAGTTTATAGGGATCCAGTACCCTCTCTTTTGGTCACGTTGGGCACCAGACAGGCATGTAATGCACAGACATTTATGGAGGCAAAATACCTGCATACATAAATAAAAATATATATTTAAAAGTTATGTAGCTTGGGCTGGAGAGATGGCTCAGTGGTTAAGAGCACTGGCTGCCCTTCCAGAGGACCTGATTCAGTTCCCAGCATCCACATGATGGCTCACAACTGTCTGTAACTCCAATTACAGGGGGTCTGACACCGTCACACAGATAAATATGCAGATAAAACACCAATGCATATGAAATAAAAAATTTAAAAAGTTATATAGCTTTTTGGTGATTTTCAGCTTTTTGAGAATATTGTGTTTTAAAACTATTTTTTTTATGTTAAATGTTCTCCTAGTATTTATGTTCTTCTAGTATTTAGCCTAGTTTTACATTATGTGGATTTTGTTCTGAGGGGTAGAGGAGGATAAGGCAGTAACTTAGGTCAGTGTGACCATTAAGGCTACCACTTGTGTTTTAAAGATTTGGAGGCAGTTATATGGATTTTTAACAAAAACTACAATAGCTTTTATTTTAGAATGCAAAATGTGAGAAATTACTTTAGAATATGTACAACTTAAGCTTTTCAGAAAATTGTGCTTTGTGAGATGTGGGATCTTTTTAGTGTGTATGAACATATGCATAGGCATACACATGTGGAAGCCAAAGGAAGATTTTGGGTATCTTTTTGTTGTGTATTTTTTGATACAGGATCTCTCTACTTAGTTCTAGCTGTCCTGGAACTTGCTATGTAGATCAGGCTTTGAACTCAGAGAGATCTGCCTGTCCCAGTCTCATGATTTGGTGCTAGGTTCAAAGGCCAGCACAATCAACATCTAGCCTAAGTATCTCCTTATATCATTGCCTTATTTTGTCTTTTTTTTTTTTTTTTATCCTTGAGGCAGGGTCTTTTACTGAACCTGAAGCTCAGTGTGTGAGCTAGGTAGCTGGTCAGCAAGCTCTAAGGATTGCTTGTTTGCATCTGCCAGCCCTGGAGCTGCTGCACATGCAGCCATGCCCAACTTTTATATAGGTGCTGGGGATTCAAACTCATGTCCTCATGTTTGCTCTGCATGTACTTGAGCCAACTCCCTAGCCAGAGGTCTTTAAAACTGTAGACACATACTGTTTTATAACTTATTGAGGTGATTTTTTTTTTTTATAAATAAAAAGTATTCCAAACTTGTCTTTGATTTAAAAAACAATATTATCTACATGGCAAATTCCAATCCAGGTGGGACTACTTAGTGAGAACTTGTCTAAAATAAATAATTAAATGAGTGGAAATAAGTACTCTCAGAATTTTAAGTGGGTAAGTTTGAAGTGTTATTAAGCATCAATCCAGCAAATCACTTTCTGTGTGAGCAGGTTTAGTCTGACTCACAGTTATCTTGGGCTATGTCTGTTGATGTTGACTGAGTCCCTTTGTGGGACATGTTTGTTCTTTTTGCAAAGGTGAGGCTTTTTTCTTTTTCCACTGTAGAGCTGTTGATAAGGTTTGAAAAAAAAAAAAAAAAAAAAAAAAAAAAAGGACTTTTCTTAGCACTTCAATCTTGGTAGAAGCCAACCCTGTAATGATTGAAATCAGAAATAGAAGGTCTGAAAATTCTAACAAGAAATTAGTATTTTCAAATAGTACCAAACTGTTAATAGCCTGATTATTAAATGTCTCTATGTTTATGAAATAAACTATGAACACTTTATTTTAAAGTTTAGTATTGTTAACGCTTATAAATATGTGGATACATGAATGAAATGATGCAGTTGCAAAAAGGGGAGCACATGATATAATGATGACTGTGTTGTGTGGATAAGAAACTGGAATTGGGGGCTGGAGAGATAGCTCTGAGGTTGCTCTTCCAGAGGACCTGAGTTCAATTTCCAGCAACCACATGGTGGCTCACAACCATCTGCAGTGAGATCTGGTGACCTCTTCTGGCTTGCAGGTGTACATGTAGACAGAATACTGTATATATAATAAGTAAATCTTAAAAACAAAACAGAACCAAAAAAACAAAAAGAAAAGAAGCTGGAATTGTAGTTTCATTTAATCAAAAGACATTTTGGAAACTTGTTTGAAATCCAAACTAGAACTGGGGCTTTTCACTGTGATGCTGCTGTAGCATAACAGGCCGTGTCTGTAGGAAGTGCAGGTCCATAGTTAACTCACAGGTCCATGGGGAATCAGGCCTGAATGCTGTAGGCAGGCAGTCAGGCTCCACAGACTTAACAAATAGAAAGAATTGAGAAATGTTTTGTTTTAGCCAGGTATTACGGTTAGAGTTGTTTTGGGGACTGACACTTAGGTCTGTGATTTAAACCTGACATTAGTCTTGGCAACAAATTATACTTGATTTTTCCCCCCTTTTGTAGTAACAAGCTTGCTTTTCTTCTTGTTCCTCTCTGATGTGCATGTTAGTCTTCTGTTTGAGAAAAGAAGGGAAGCAAATATTAAAGACCTTAATATCTTGTATAGATTTGTAAAATTTCTATACCACTGCTTGCTGGCAGGGTTCATTTTCATCCAGATGATAGTAAAGGCATATACATGTTTTATTTTTTTCTTTTTTCTCATTCTTTTTGGGACAAGGTCTTATGTAATCTAAGCATGCTTTGACCTTCCCTTCCTTTGCAGCTGAGGATAGCCCTGAACTCTGATCTTTGATCTTTCTG